AAACCGAGTTTACGTGGGGGTGGTTAGGACGTGGTGAGGTGGGGGTGGTATTGGAATGATGTACGCATGAAAAGTATCATTAATGGCATGCGTAAATCCCAGTACCTCAATAAAAAATGGTTTAAAAAATAAAGAAATTAGCTTGCTCTTCAAGCCCATGCTCTCCCTTAAACATGGACCTTGCTTGCTGCCTAGATGCTTCTCGGCTTCCCTATTTCCACTCTGGAGAAGCCTGTCCTCCTTACATCTTCACAAATAGGTTTCAATAAGAACTTTCTTGCTTCGGGGCTGGAGAGATAGCACAGCAGGTAGGGCATTTGCCTTGCACGCGGCCGACCCGGGTTCGATTCCCAGCATCCCATATGATCCCCCTGAGCACTGCAAGGAGTAACTCCTGAGTACAGAGCCAGAAGTAACCCCTGTGCATCGCCAGGTGTGACCCAAAAAGAAAAAAAAACTTTCTTGCTTTGGGGCTGAAGCAATAGTACAGCAGGTAGGCATTTGTCTTGCACACAACCAACCCTGGTTTGATCTCTGGCATCCCATATGGTTCCCTGAGCATAGCCCCAGGAGTAATTCCTGAGTGCAGAGCCAGGAGTAAGGCCTGAGTATTACTGGGCATGCCCTACCCCCCCCCCCCCAAAATTTAACTTCAGAATTGATAAGTAGAGTCCCTTAAATGTTGTAATGGTATCAAGGGCATATGCATATATCCAAACTCATAAAAATATAGAGCTGGAGAGAGAGACAGTCCAGAGGGTAGGGTGTTTGCCTTGCTTGAAGCTGACCCTGCATCCCACCCGTCCCCGTGTACCACAAGGGGTGATTCCTGAGAAGAGGAGAGAGGATGGCAGCGGTGAGGCAGCAGCTCTCAGCACTCTGGACGACAGGGCTGATGGGGTCATAAAATTTCTGCAGAAAATGACTGTAAGTGCCCTTTAAGCATTTTCTCTCCAAAAGAGTGGTTTTAAGTGAAACCAAACTGGCACCCAGGACAAAGTGTCAGGCCTCAGGGGGACGCGTGAAGACTGCAGGTTCCAGGCTCCGAAGCTGATGGAGCTGCCCCGGTTCTTGGTACTATGGGCAGCTAGCTGGCCGCCAGGGTGGCAAGAGCACAGCATGAATGAACAGGGCTCCTCGAGCCCCACTTGGCATTATCGAGGATTGCGGGCACCGGAGTTGAGGGTTCCCATGATGGAGGCCGGCTCAGACAACTCACCCCCTGTAATCCCTGCCACCATGTCTTCCCTGGACCAGACCACGCCACCAGTGCCGCCCACAGCATATTATGAAGGAAAGCCTCCCTGAGCGCCTACTGTCTGGAGGCCGTGGATGGGGACGTGTGCCCCTCAGCAGTTCCTGCTGGCCTGGTGGCTGCAACCCGTCCAGAGCGCCCACGCCATAAATGGTAGCACCCCTAGACCCGGTCCTGGTCCCTGCCGGGTCCACTGCTGCTGTTGCTACTGGACCCAGGAGGTGTGGCACCACTAGAGGGTCAGCCTGATGGGACCCTCAGTCTTCCTCACACCCCAAAACTGCTACTATGCCTCTGGCTGGACTCCAACAACTCAGGACCAACTTTTCTGAGAAATCAAACCACCCAAAGTTAGGGATGTGGGAGTCACGCCTACAAACCACCTCTGGCTCAATCATACAAACTCAGTTATTGGCCTTGTTCTGGAGACCTATAAATAAATCTCCAAAGAGATCAAGAGCCACAGATAGAGGCTGGAGTGATAGCACAGCGGGTAGGGAGCTTGCCTTGCATGCGGCCAACCTGGGTTCGATTCCCAGCATCCTATATGGTCCCCCAAGCACCGCCAGGAGTAATTCCTGAGTGCAGAGCCAGGAGGAACCCCTAAGCATCGCTGGGTGTGACCCAAAAAGCAAAAAAAAAAAATCCACAGATAATCTTGGATCCACAAAAGGCTGAACAGACTGGGGGTAGATCAGAGTTGGGGGGGGGCGGTGGTTTGCCTGGTGCCCACCCAACCAGAGCTACTGGCAGCTGTTTGCTCCCACAATCCAAATAGCCACCATGCCCCAGCTGAACCCCACCATCTTGGGACAGACCTCACTGATATGAATCTGCTGAAAATTTGGGTATGTTGATTTTGTTATTGGAATCTCCAGACTTTCTCAGGGTCAGGATGGGCTACCTTTGCCCACCTCCCTGTACCTCCAGAAACCCCAGCAGTCCGCACTCCAAAGCTGCCACCAGTTAAAAAAAAAAAACTAAAAACCTACTCTAGATGTACCTTCCCGATAAGAATGTTGAACGCCCTGAATAAACACAATGACCTCTGAGTACCCGTTCTGCAAACCACAGTGCACAAAAGGAGAGAGAAGGAGAAAGAAGAAAGCTGCCTGTCATAGAGGCAGGTGGGGGGAAAGGAACTGGGGACGTTGGTGGTGGCAAATGTACAGTGGTTGAGGGATGGGAACATTGGAACACTGCATGCCTGAAACCCCATCATGAACTTACAACTTTGTAAGGGTCTATCTCACGGCAATTCAATGTGAGAAGAAAAAATGTGATTCCTGAGTGCAGAGCCAAGAGTAACCCCTGAGCACTGCTGGGTGTGGCCCAAGACCAGTACACACACACACACACACACACACACACACACACACACACACATTAAACGTGCAAAATCAGTGATGGCTTGGCAGTTGGTGCTGACACAACCAGAAGGGAACCTGTAGGAAGCACCTGTCAAAGGTGGGAACAGAGCTGAGGGCCCTGAGTGGAGGGGGCTGGGCAAGAACAGAGAACCCCTCCCACACCAGGGCAGGCTCTGCATCTCAGGGCTGGAAGGAGCAGGGCCAAAGCTCTCTGTCCACCTCCAGGAGGGAGGCAGGGGCAGGGGTGAGGAGGTGCTGTGGATGGTAAGAGACTGCCCTCCAATCATTCCCTCTGAGGCACTGACCCCTGCACCCCAGAGGTCAACATCAAAGGGACTTCCCAGGACAGACAAGCAGGGAGTCAGGCCCAGAGGGCAGCGGCGAGGGCACGGGCAGTGAAGTGACGGGCAGTGAAGTGACTTTGGTCCCCCTCCTACCCACACTCTCCTTTGCCTGAAACCCTGGCCACAGGGGCCTCCCAGCGGCCCCTCCTAGATGACACCTCACATTCCCACAGTTCCAAGTTCCAGATAAAAGAGGTGCCATTCAGACGCCTTCTCTGGGCCGCCTGGTGGTCACAGACAGGGCTTCTCAAGGTGGGGTCACCTCGTTACAGGACCCATCTACGCCATGCCTTTGGCCCAAGGTGCCTGGCTTTGCCACCAGTCCTGATGGGTCACCCGAGTCCTCTGCCTTTCCCCGACTCTCACACGGAAGCAAGCAGCTCAAACGAAGGGGTGCCCCTTGTCTCCTGGGCGTTAGGAACGCTCCCACACCCGGAACCAGTCTTTCTACACTGACACATACTGCTCCTCTTCGATTAGGCAGAAACAACGCTCGTCCGCCGCCGCCAAGTTAGGAGAGAGGAAAAGATTTTAAAGAAGAGAAAGCGCGTGTAATCTGTGCGCCCCAGAGGAAACCCTCAGCCTGCAGGGGACGGCATTCGTTTCTTTTTAACCGAATTGTGATCTCACAGCCAATACTCCTTTATATCCTGGTTTTTGGTTCGCTTTTCCGCCAAGTCTGTGATCAAGAACAACATCGGAGAACGTTCCCCCAAGGGAAAACACACCACAACATGGGGCAGTGAAGGGGCTTTTCCTGGTAAAAATGGACCTGCCCCAAGCAGCCCAGCCACTGCCCACATCACCTGGTCCTGAGGACCAGCTTCTCCAACAGAATCACAAGGCCAATGGAATATCGTATTTCAAAGGGACCTGGATCTGGACTGACATATTAATTACCAAAAGAAAAAAAACAGCCTCCCCACAACCTATCCTCCATTGATTTTTTCAAGTCCAGCAAGAACTGGGGTTCTGGGGGAGTTGGGGTTGGAAGGCAGGACCCCGATCCTGTCTTCTGCCTTTCCCTTGTCTTGAAGGTTTGAACTGTGCAGCCAGAGATAGGACCACACCGCTGTCTGTCAGAAGTTGGGGTGTGCACCCTCCCTCTGCCTCTCTCTGGAAGCTAAAACAAGCCACGTGTGGGTCCCCCGCACACCACGGGCTCACTGGCTCTGCCCACCTCAGCCTTCATGGGAAAGGTGTTTGTGGAAGTTCTCCGTGAATGTCACTGCTTTGTCAAGTACTGTCCTTCCTGAGCAGGGTGGGTTCTGAGCAAGCCACAAGGCTTCCTTCCCTGTCTCCGGGCAGCCTTCCACGCCGGACGCTACCCAGGACAACTGCTGCCTGGAGCCCAGGGCGGTGAAGCATGTGAGGGGAACCTGTGGACCTGGGGGTGCTGGGGGAGCTGTGTTTTCAAAGGGGAATTGGAGGGAAGGGAGTTGGTCTGAGAACTAAAAGCACAAAGACCCTCTGTCAAGCGGAGCCTCTTCACTCGGTTCCAAGTAGTCAACCGACCTTTGGGGAAACCCGAATGCAGGATAATTCGGTGGATGCAAAAAGTCATCGCCCTTAGAGGACTCAGGCCCTTTCTTTCTGGCAGTTACAAGCCCTGGCGATTGGAAATGCAACTGGTGCTCCGTGTGTGACCCCCCCAGCCCTTGGCAGCAGGAAGGGAGAGGCGGACGCCTCCCCTGAGAAGCGCTGGCGGGCAGCGGGCCTGACTGGGCATCGCCCACCCACCCCCCACGCCCCTGCCCTTCTCCACCCAGGCCTGCTCGCCAAGCCCCCCCAGAACCAGGGCACTCCAGCGCAGGCCCGCCGGGGGAAGAAGGGGCGCGGACGCCAGCCTGGAGGGGTTGCCCATTACCTTCGCATCTGGGGCAGCTCCCCGCAAGTCCCCACCCCGGTCCAGCTGCGCATCTCTCGGCACCAAATGCGCACAGCAGGTGGCACCTCTGGGAAGAGGCTTGGATGGGGGGCGGCCGTCCCCGCCCCGGCTGTCCACCTGCGCCGCGACTCCCGGGCCCTTACCTTTGAGGTTGGCGGGGTGGCCCCGCGGCGGGCGATTCGCGGTTCCCCGGGGCACAGAAGAGACACTGGAGAAGTTGTTCCCCATGGCATCCGGGCCCGGGGCTCGGGCGCTGGCGGGGGGCCGGCGCGGCTGGACAGGAGCGCGGGGCGCGGGCGGCGGCGGGGTGCGCGCGCGGGGGCGCGCCGCCGGGGGGAGGGCCCTGCCGGGGCCGCGGTCGTCGGGCTGCCGGGGGCTCCACCGGCTACCTGCCGCCCATGCCCGGCGGGGGCGCGGCCCCGAGCCCGCGGGCGCTGGGGATCCGGCTGGCTGGGCGCGGCGCGGCGGCTCGGGCGCGCTCCCCGCGGGCCATAGAGTCGGGGCTCCGGGCGCGGGCGCTCGGCCGCGGGGCCTGCGGCGCGGGCTCGGCCTCGCTCCCCGCCCGCGGGGACGGCCGCGGCGGCGACGACGTGCGTGGCGCCCGCGGGGCTGGGTCTCCGGGGCCGCCCGCGCCCCCCGCCCGCGCCGTCGCCGCGCGTCCCTCGCCGCGGTTGTTATGGTGACAGCTGCGCGGAGAATGAGCGGCTCAGTGACACCCGCGCCCGCCCGCGCCCGCCCGCTTGGCTCCCGGGGAGCGCGGGGGGTGCCAGGCCGCCGCGGGGGGTGCCCCGGACGGGCGCACGCCGGGACCCCGCGCAGCAGAGCGGGCCGCAGCCCCCACGAGGTCCCCGGCTGGCCGGGCGCGCGGCCGGGCGGCTCCGCTTGACAACTTCCAGCGCATCTGGGAGCTGCCTGGCACCCAGGAAGCCCGAACACGCCTGTTTGAAGGAGCGGCTGCGTGAATAACGGGGCTTGGGATCTGAAGGGGTGTCAGGGGGTGGGCCCAGAACAAGTTCCTCCACCACCACCACCACCACCACCCCGCCGGGGGCTGCCCAGTTAATTGGGGTCCTGGGGGGATGTGGAATGACTACAAACGGGGCCTGCATGGAAGGATGAACTCCCTGAGCTGGGGGAGCAGCTCTTCACCCTGGGGAATGGGCAACTCTGGAACGGAAAGGCTCTGTCCCCTTCCGGAAAGGGGGCAAGGTGGGGGTCTCTGTGGCTGGAAGACTTACAGGGGGGCAGGGGGAGAGGGGCTCCCACAAGTCCCCTGCTCACCGTGACTTTTCCTTCGAGTGCCTCAGCCCTGTGGCCAGGAAGCCAGTGAGAAGGGGAAAGGGACTGTGGCCCGCTTCTCCTCCTGATCTGCCAGGGGTAGAATCCAGCCTCCGGGTCCCCAGAGAGAAACCACCTTCCTGCTCAGCTTGGTTCACTCCCCAGGTGGTTTCGGGCATGGGGAGCCCTGGGCTTCCCCGGAACCCCATGGAAGGTTCTTCCCTCCAGGCTTCCTACATGGCGCCTCTGGATCTCACACTTCCTGGGTCACCCCCTCCCCCCTGCTTCCCCATAGCTCTGTACCCTTACTCCGATTTTCTGGGGAAACAGTGCCTCACCCCTCTTATGCTCTGCCCCCTCTGGAGGAAAAGCTCTGAGCAGGGAGAGTGTCTGTCACCTCCAATGCTTCCTGTACACCTAGGACTTAGAAAGTGGCCAGCTCCCCCAGCCTGCTGCAGACCCAGGCCCATCTGGGGCCTGAGGCCTAGAGCCAGCCTTGCTGATGTCTCTGCCCTCCAGGCCCACCCCATTCCAGGCATCACATCCTTAAATGTCTGGGCATCTGGGCAAGCTGGAAATATCCGTGACAGCTGCTGCTCTCTGGGGTCTGGAGAGAAAGCCAGCCCCCACCCCCCACCTCCAGCCACTGCGATGCCCAGGTCACGTGCCTGGCCAGCTCAGAGTGGACACAGCAGGTCAGGGACACTGTCATCTTTGTAGGCGGATCTTCCTAGATTTCCTCCCACCCATGACTCATGCACCAGAAATCCCTGGGCTCCTGCTGGCGAGCACCTCTGCTCTATCTCTCCACTCACTTTTGCACACACACACACACACACACACACACACTACCATACTCGCTTATGCCCCCGCACCCACCCCCACCACACACCCCCCCCCCTCAGATCTGCAGGAATGAGGTCACTGTGAGCTGGGCTCAGAATCCATCCCAAGGAACTGGGTTCCCTGTGAGGGGGAGGGGTGAAGAGAGGCCCTGGAGAGATTTGCAGATGGTGGCTTGGGGGTGGGGGCAGCTGGGGCCTTCTGGGAGGAGTCCCACCCCTCTCACCCAGGGGAGAGGAGCAGGAGGAGGGGCCAGGGACTGAGGCAGGGGTGAGGAGGGCCTGCAAGAGATGGAGGAGTCGCAGGCCTATACAGTCAGTCAAACCATGAACTCTGGGCCAAGCAGGGAAGTGGAGAATGGGAAGGGGAATGGGGTGAGAGGCAGAGCCAAGCCTCCTGGGGGTGACACAACGCAGTCTGATCTTGGCCAGAGATGTTAGGGACCAAAGTGGAACTGAGATCAGGGAGAAACTCCCTCTCCTCCACCAGGACTGAGAAGCTGGTGGGAGCCTCAGGGCCGGGGCTGGGGACTGACACAGGCTTGGCTGTCCCTGAGACACCAACTCTACACTAGCTGGGCGCACTTCTGGAATGCTGCACCTCGGACCCTCCTCTCTGGGGTCCCTTGGCTCTGCCAGTGACAGATGTGAACTGGGGTGGAGAGACAGTGCAGCTGCTTCTTGCATGCAGCTGACCTTGCCTCGGACTCCCACCGATGGTCCCCGGCGTATCACCAAGGGTTACTCCTGAGCACAGAGCCAGGAATAGCTCCTGAGCACTGCCAGCTGTGGCCCTCCCCCACTCTGCAAGTTTCTGGAGAGGCCCGGACCTGCAAAGGGGGCTGGGAGGAGGAGGATTTGTGGTTAGACCCAGCACCCTCCCACCCACCCCACCCGACCAGAACCGAACCCGAAGGCTCCGGGCCTGCCTTCTCAGGCGGCAGGGAAGTGGCCCGCGCAGCCCCCCCAGGGCCCTTCCCGGGCTCCTCCGAGGACTGCAGAGGGAGAGGGGAACCCACGGGGAGCGGGGCTGGATGAAGTCAGCGCTTGGAAGGCTTCAATGGAAGCTATTAATAGCCGCAAGGTGGAGTTCTAGCACCTGTCGCCCTGGCAACCCCGCCTCCCCGATTCCCAGCCTGTGCCCCCAGGGGCGCATGTGCACGTGTGCGCCGACGCGTGCAGGGTGGACGCTGGGCGTGCTCAAGCCGAGCCCCGGGAGCGAGTCCTGGGGAAGGGACCCCGGGGAGAGGCAGGCTTCCAGCGACCCCTGCGCCTCCCACTCTCCCCTTCCTCCTCCAGGCCTGGCTCTTTTCTTAGCCGGGCTCTCACTCCCCAGGCTCTTGGCTCTCTCCTCCTCCCTCCACTCGCCCTCATCTTTCTCCCCTTCCCTCTGCCTTTCCCTGTTTCCCTCCACGTGGGACTCTCTCTCTCTCTCTCTCTCTCTCTCTCTCTCTCTCTCTCTCCCTCCCTCCCTTTCTCCCACCCCTATTTCCCTCCCTCCCACCTTCCCTCCCTCTGCCTCTCTTCTCTGTCTCCCTCCCTCCCTCCCCGCCTCCCTCCCTCCCTCCCTCCTACTCTCTCTCTCTCTCTCTCTCCCCCCCATCTCCCTCCCTCCTTTTCTCTCTCTCCCTCCCTCCCTTTCTCCCACCCCTATTTCCCTCCCTCCCACCTTCCCTCCCTCCGCCTCTCTTCTCTATCTCCCTCCCTCCCTCCCTCCTATCTCTCTCTCTCTCTCTCTCTCTCTCTCTCTGATAAAACAATAAAAATGGACTGGGGGGTTGTGGCCCAAGCCTTCCACATGCTGGGGCCTGGGGCTGCATCCCTGGCCCACTTCTTGGCCCCTCTAGCCCCACTGGGGGAAGCTCCTATGAACCATTCTAGAATGGGGTTCATCCATCTAAGCCATGATGGGTTCCCCTGAACTCCAAGGGACCCTTGTCTAGACCTTAATACTTTCCTTCCCAGTCCAGACACTGTTGATCTACTTATTTTTATTGTTGTTGTTGTTGTTTTTAGGACACATCAGGTAGTTCTTAGGCTTACTCCTGGCTCTGTGCTCAGGGGTCACTCCTGGTGGTGCTCAGGGAACCATATTCAGTGTTGGGGATTGAACTAGGGTTGGCTGCCTGCAAAGCAAGTCCCTTCGTTCCTGTACTATCTTTCCAGCCCAACAAACTAACTTGGAATAGAAAACCACCAACTCATCCCTACTGGCAATGGTGTTTCGCTACCATTCTATCTGCTACATCCTGAGAATGTGTTTATCGCCAAGCAATTGCACAGCGGGTGGGTGTTTGCCTTACATGTGGCTGACCCAGGTTCAGTCTCTGGCATTCCATCTGCAGCACCACCAGAAGCAACCCCTGAGCATCACTGGGTGTGACCCTCCCCCGCCACACACACACACACACACACACACACACACACACACACACACACAGAATGTGTTTATCTTGGAACTGGAAGTTTTATCCTTTAACCAATAGCATAGGTCCCAAACTCTTTTTCGGTCATGCATCCTTAGTGTTGATATTCTTAAGCATGCACCCTAACACATGTACAGAGGTTTATAACATCTGTGCATAGAGATTGAAAATCTATTATAAATCAGACACCGTGCACGCAAATGAGACTGAAAGATGAATCATCTGGAAGCCCTCACTAAAGCAGTAAGATAAATTATTTCTGACAAAAATGCTAAAGAACTGACAGAAGGTGAGCCTGGAACTAATAAGCAATTACAGCAAGGCTTTAGGGTATAAGGATAATCGACAGGAGTCAATAACTTGACTCTGAACTAGTGATGAACGAGAACAAGCACAGCAGGTAAGGTGCTTGCCTTGCACGCGGCCGACATGGCTGACCCGGGTTCCTCCGCCCCCTCGGAGAGCCTGGCAAGCGACCAAGAGTATCTCGCCCGCACAGCAGAGCCTGGCAAGCTCCCCGTGACGTATTCGATATGCCAAAAACAGTAACAGCAAGTCTCACGATTTGTTGTGAGACATTACTGGTGCCCGCTCAAGCAAACCGATGAAGAACGGGAGGATAGTGCTACAGTGCTAATAATAAATTTATAATAATAATTTATAATAATACCATTTGCATTTTTGGGGGGTCACACCCGGCAATGCACAGGGTCACTCCTGGCTCTGCACTCAGGAATCAACCCTGGTGGTGATCAGGGG